CCACAAGTCTTGAGGGAAACTGACGCCCCAGACACCCTCCTCAGCGGGCTTTCCTTACTGCCTTTCTACAACTTTGTTCTTGTCTTTTCTTCTTTCACTCTTTTCCTATCTCCCGTCTTAGTTACTTTAAAAAAATCTGATAAAGCATTCAAGTGACAGTTTTGTTAGAACTGTTTGTCATGTATGTGCTCAAGCAGGTGATGCTGTGTGTAAATGGTGAGAGAAGACAGGGCCCCATGAAATTAAGAGTTTAAAAGTGGATGCGTTCAGAGACAGAAAGAAGGATGGTTGTTACCGAGAGGGGGACTGGGGAGTGACTGTTGGATGGGTACAGTTCCGTTTGGGGTGAACAGGTTTCAGACGGACAGGGGTGACAGCTGCACAACACTGTGAATGTAAATGCCATGCATGCAATTGTACTCTTAAAAATGGCTGAAACGGTAGATTTGTTATGTATATTTTACGAGTTAAAACAAGAGAGGAAACACAGAAGACGCAGCACACCATCTTTCAGACGTGACCAGTTTATTCAGAAAATTCAGATTTCAGATTGGCAAGAGTTCGGGATAATCACTTCATTGGAGGCAACCACATTATCTAGAGCTACCTGGCCGTGGGGGTAGTATCTGAAGGAAAGAAAGCAAAACTCCAAAAAATAATCTAGGGTGTGTGGGGTGATAATCGTGAATATTTGCAGAGGAAACAAAGCAAACAAGCAGCTTACACAACAGGCACAGAAACGCTGATGCGAGTAGAGACCCTTCATTCCATTTAGTTCGACAAGACATGAAGCACCTAATTTGTTCCAGACGCTGGGCTGGCTGCCGGGGTTGAGGCGGAAACACAGCGATCACCAGGACGCAGTCGCTGTCCTCAGCAAGGTCGCTCCAGCACGTGTGGGAGAGCGCTGTAGGCGAGGCAGCAAAACCTGCTCTAAAAACACGGACGGACGCGTTCCCTTTACTTCTCAGTAGAGTGGAAGCTGGGAGCCTCTTAAATTTGGTGGTGTGGGTGAGGCGGGGGATGGCACATGGAGTAGAGAAAACCCTAGAGCCCGAGCGTGTCTTGGCAATGGGAGGTGATCTAGTTCCTCCAGCTTTCCATGTGCGGGAGGGGAGGAGAATTCAAAGGTACCGAGTCTTATTTCAGTCCCTCCCATCGTTAGCTCATTATAAGAAAGAGATCGACAAGGAAGTGAGAATGACAAAAACAAACGAACAAAAAACACATTTGAGGAGGCAGGGACACATAGATGAAACACCGTTTCATTGTTTTAGTGTAAACTCAGCCCCTTGTGTGTATCTATTTAGTAGCTTAAGTAAAACCATCGAATGGGGGAAAACAAAACAAAACCACCCATTGGCTGCACCGCAGTTCATCGTGGTAGAATGGTCTCCTTAGACTACAAAGCTAGCTTTGGCTGCTGCCAGTGGTGAGTGGGAGGGTCCAACAGAAACTGAAGTCCATATTTTACACATTAGTTAAAGTCTATAAACATTTCCACCTTCACTGAACGCAGATGATGAAGGGGGCTTGGAAGAGATAATTTGGGAAGAGAGAGGCAGTCTTCGTAGGCTGGCTGGTCTAATGATGACTTGGTACACTGTATTTCCTGTTTAAAAAAGTACAGGATGAGCAAGTCTGAATAGTTTACTACATGTATAATAGAACTTAGACACAACATACTGCTAACCAATCATCACAGTTTCTGCTTTTGCAATTTATTCAAATTACCTGAATTTAACACTTAAGGGAACTCTTACAAACACAATGTGTAAGTTTTAATATTATTCATCATCCTTAACCTATGAGAGTTTGACTTATGCTATCTCAAAGAACAACTAATATTTATAAACCTCGTCGTCCCACAGAATTAATTCATCAGCCAACTTTAAAAGCAATTTTTTAAAAAGAAGCTTCCCTGTAAGACTTTATCAGTGGTAAATTGGAATGCAAACACCTGCCAGGCTTTGATGGAACAAAAATAAACAACTTATATGACAAGCACCTCATAAAACCAAAACCTGCTCTTGAAAGGACAAAGTTCAGCTCTCCGCGACCTCTTAGCAACTGCTAGTCCGAACCCTCCCAGATCTGGGAACTGTTCTGGTTTGATACATCACATTCATACAGTAGTTTCTTAACAGTAAGAAATTCCTGATACGGTACCACAAATAAATAGCCGTATTTTAAAATCAAAGTGACTCAGACCACTCGAACAGACATAATAGCACGCTGAAATGGTTTAAAAGTAAAATTAAAAAAAAAATCTATCATGGTCTTACTAATTTAAATTAAAAACCAAAGGATGAAGTATCATTTCAGACCTTACATACACCAAGATGCCAGTTCTTATAAAAATGTACTTTAGTTGTAAATGCTAGATTATGCAAAAATAACTTTTTATTCATTTTTTAATGAATTTCCCTAACTCTAATATTAAAAACATTAAAATAACTTAAATTTTAATGGCAAAAAGTTCCTGTCTTCCCCGTCTATTAAAAAAAAAAACTTTTTCCTTATTAACATACAATGCCCTATCATTAAGGCACAACTTTTTTTAGGACAAAAATGAAAACACAGATGTGTTTCACACAACAGGTACAAGGCAGTCTTTTTTTTAGGTATATGCTGAAATAAGTAAGTCAGTCTTAAATTCAACCAAGATCTGAGATGAAACCTCATCACTTCTAACCAGGGCCAGTCAGCACACAGCCAAGGAAAGCCGTTGCAGCTAGATCCCAAACAGCTCCTGTTTTAAACCTGCCCCATAGGGCCTCTTTCAAGCCGGCACCAAGGAGAGGCACGCTGGGATCTCCTCTGCTGAGGAACAGGGGTGGCACCCCAGCTTCCTTTACTTATGTTCGGGCCATGAGAGATCGCTGTCACCTTCCAAGCCCTGGCAGAACCCAACCTTCGAATGGAACATCCGGGACAGGGCAGTGCCCGCTGCCCAGAGGGGCCAGGCTTGCTTTGCGCCCTCCCTGGCCACCCTGCCCTGGGCTGTCTTCCTTCCTCCCTGTCCTCTTCTTCGCCACTGTCCCTCTGACTTCAGTCTGCACAGTATTCAAAGGGAGCACCTAGCCAATGGGAAGAGTCTGCACAATTATTACTCAAAACACAGAAACCAAAACGCTTGTTGCTTCATGATACAGCCAAATAATTCATTTCAGTATTGATTTAAAATCAAGAAAAAAAAACACCTAACACTAAAATTGAGGAAAGGAAACCACTGAATAAAAGACAACTCTGACCCCCTTGCGGGCCCTTCTAACCCCGCCTGACACAGGGGTACAAGCGAGGGAGCTGACGGGGAGAGCAGGCGGATCCAGAAGGCTGATCCAGCCAGCTCTGTCTTTTCCGCATTTTCATTCTTTGAAGGGTGGGTCAGAAGAAACGCTTTGTGGAAGCTGGATGTGGTGGGTTACACTGGACAATGCAAAGCTGTCTGGTTCTGAAGGTGATTTTCCTTTCCTTTTGGAGGGTCTTTGAGAAGCAGGGGTCAAGGAGGGCTCCACAGCCCTGTATACAAGACTCAGTTCTAACCAAAATGTCAGCAGCCCATCGTGGACAAGAAGGCCTATGAGAGAATTTGGGGGAGAAAAGAGGAGCAGGACAAGGGGAACGTGGCTGACGGGCTGGGGACAAGGCAGAGGCGGGCCGAGCGAGGGGACAGCCGATGCGTCCTGAGGGTGCTGACGTTGGTAAATGTGACGCGGAATAATCAGTCTTACGGGGAAACTGTCCTCTAAGTAAGGCAAAGATGAGGGAAAAGGAGACCAGGATTTGGGACGGGGAGGGTCACTAAGAGTAACCATTTGAGAAATAATTTTATTTAGGTAATTCTGGGAGATACACGTCTCACTTACTCATGACGCTGTTTCACTGGCGTGCTCTGGCACAATAATGTCTTACATAAATAAATATAAACACTGTTCTTCGTACTTATATTAGTTCTCTATATTGACTTTTAGAAACAAAGTTTCCTTTAAATGAACTTTCTATAAAAGCACTTAAAAATCATTAGTACTATACTGTACCTAGCAAATTATAAAAATAATGCATTTAACTGTCAGCCAAGATCTCAATTTTTCCACGCAACACAAGCCCTTCACAAAGTCATTATCTACGTGTGGATTAACGAAATTAAAACCAAAACCAAAGCAATCACGCTTGCTAACACGAACTGGTCCTACTTCTTAATACGCCAGCCCCATTCCCTAAGTTTGACACATTACCATGAGAACAAACGCTTACACACACAACTCTGGGGTCAGCATGTGCCTCTGCTGTCTCTCCTGAGAAAAAGGATTTCGCCATCTTACTGCAAAGTAAAGAGATGAAGTCCCTAATGTTCTGACCATAATTCCTAAGTCCTGTTTAAATATCCAATATCCCAGCTACCAAAACCTTGAATTTTCATGAGCAAAACCCTACCTGCCGAGGCCACTGCCTTCCCAGACTTGGGACCAGCTGCTAGAGATTGAGTTGGGACGTGTGCATCACACGACACCCAATTCTCCAGGGAGGAGTAAAGGCCTCTGGGCAGTGGAACATGCAAACCTGAAGCTAGATGCACACTCCACCAGCGCGGGGAACGCTCATTCTTTAGTCAGTTTTACTTCCGAAATAGGAAAATAAATGGAAATTTAACAGAGGGTTAAAAACTTTAGAGAAAAAAGAATAGAAAAGAAACCATGAAACTGTAAGAAATCCCTCTCCTTATCGGTGTGTTATGGAATACAAGAAGAGCAAAGTCGTACGAAATAATGCTGTTGTTCACATGAAGTTTCCAGATGTCACACTGAGAGACATCAGACATCCCAATGGAAACTCACAAGGCACGGTTCCAATTACAGTGACACAGTGAACATGGCACAACCTTGCTTCCTGCCAGATTCCGCACACTTGAACAGGAAAAAATTATCAAAAAGTAACTTCAACCTTCATTTTTTTAATTTGAAGGGAAAATATAAAGTATCTCAAAAGTCACTACTTTGAAAGTTTGGTTGGTTAGACCCATTTATTAATGGTAAAAGCAACCATGGCAAAAACAACCATAACTCATTCTTGATGAGAGAATCTCTATATACAAACCCGGCAATTTTTTTTAAAAGCACTAAAACAAAGCTTTTGAAAAAAAATGGAAGCTAGCTCAATTCATGTAATGTCAAGTAACTTTCAGTTAATAATAGAATCATTTACATTTTTATAATGCCTTACAGCATATTTTATCCCTAATGAGAAAATTACCAAAATTCTAATGCTAACCCTGAAACCGTAACCCAAACCTTACAAGTTAAAGACTAAACATTGGTCAAGAGGGAGAGGATGGAACCATGCACAGTCCTTGGGGCAAATGAGTCGTCAGCGAGATGTCAGAAACGGTGAGGCCGTGGGTACAGACACACTTTCCTTTATAAAAACAGAACGCACACAGAAATTACAATTACAATGCAACCATCGTGTATCTATATTCTCTACTAGCTGGTGAACCTGTTATTAAAATTTCCAAGAAAGAAAAGCAATTTAAGTTTTTCTCTATTTTAATCCATAAGAAGTATTCAGTAACACGTAAATAGAGCATTTGTTGCATATTAATGAATGTGTAGCTTCATGTGCTTTCCATCTGAATTATGGGTAAAAACCCCCAATATTTTTATTTTCAATGAGAAAGCATTGTAAAGTAATATCAAACATCTACATAAAATCAATCCTTTCTTCAGCCCAATTCTATATGAAAGTACTAACAAATAGTGAAGATGTTGTGTGAAAATGGTGACTCACAACAATGTAGACTCAGCTATACTTTTTAATTCACAAATATATATATATATGCGCCTTGTGTATGACAATTGTACGAAAATAGTCTCAAAAATAAAGACAATACTTGAGACACGAAGCGACCCATTTCGCCTGATCCTGCATCCCCTCGCAGGGGAAGGACGTCTCTGATGCTTCATAAATACTGTAAGAAGTTCGGGGTGGCCTTAACCATGCAGAGCCTGCACTGATGCTCCGAAGTCCCCAGCGTGTCAGGCTGACCGGCCGGCCCTGCGGGAGCTGCGAGCGCCAGTCAGCTTTGCTCATTTATGTCCTGTCTTCTCCAGGTCTGGGAGTTTTCTGACCAGGGCCTGGTGGTTCATCTTGATGCTGGCGAGGAGCCCCCCTTCAATGCCGTCGGAGCCGGTGTAGCTGATCTCCTCCCCATTCAGGGTGGTCATATGCCCCCCAAGGGCTTTTAAGATGGCATTGCCAGCACATATGTCCCACTTTTTGATATATGTCACATGGATATACAGATCAGCCTTCTCTTGACTCTTGTCAGGCACATCCAGGAGTGCTAAAACTTTATAACCTACAAGACAAGCACAGAATTTAGGTTGCAGTTTGAAAGATTTAAAGAAAGGAGCGCACTGCTTTTAGTACGTTGTTAAAACAACAGCACAGGGTGTGCAGGAGCTCTCCACACTACCTTTGCAATTGCTAAGTCTAAAAGTATTTAAAAATTTTTTTTTAAAAAAAGTAATAATATAGGTATTAAACCCAAATGAGCAAAAAAATACTTAAAAGTAACTTACTAAGCTACTCTCAAGTATAAACAAATGTTCATCTATAATTTTTCGAATTTAAATCTACTCTGTGGCTGCTTTCCGTGGGATGACACATTCAGTGAGTCGTTTCCTATGGAACACAATACTGAAGCTAAACACCCACAGGCTTCCTCGAGCGTCTATGAACGCTGGATCCGAAAAAAGAGAGCACAGAATAATGCTACCTTAAGTCCTTTTCATAAAGAGGCAGAATTTAAAAAATAAAAAAATTAAACAAAACAAACCCAGAAGAAACCGGGTCTAAAATCTACTTTATCCTGCTCGTCCTGGGAATCTTGGACCTCACCTGTCCTAACTGACCTGACACAGTACAGTTATTTTGAAAGCAGGTCATATATATCCCAGCCATCAACGCAGGAATGGCTTCTGTAGTATCAGAGGAACAGAAATCACCACTGTGAGGCTGTTTCTACCAAGCAGGCACTGGCACTGGAATCCCACTCTGGAGACGGCCAAGCAGGAGGCCATGCTTGCCTTGAAAGCCCATGGTCCAGTCTCACTTTCTTCCCAAGCAAGGGGCACCCAAAGCCGCTTCCTGACCCGGCCCCGGCCATGCCCACTGGACAGGCACCCCAGGGGAGGGGGAACGCACCAGCACCGCCAGCCGGGATGATTGTGGTCTGGTTTCCGAAAGTCTGAGAAGCCACCTGTTTCACCATTCCAGAATGCGAGCGAGACACGACGATCCTCGGGGTCTTCTCGTTGTAAGAAGTGCGTGCTTTCACATTTGACCCACCGTCTACCATCGCCCAAGCTGGAAAGCAAATACAACAGCCAGTAACGGCACTGAAGCTCTTAAAACTAGAACTTAAAAGTACCAAGAGTGACTGAAAAAAAATCCTTTTCCAAAGAATGACTTGCACGTTTTTCCAAAGCAGAAAGCACAGCTACATTTTTTCCCTGAGTACAAGAGTAGTATGCTTACTGATTTTTTATAGGCACATATGAAGGCAAAACTGAAAAAAGGCTACGCAATCCTGTCCAGCCAGAAACAGTTGACCGTTAAACACTTGGCTTAACAACCCCCAGCTCCAGCGCGCCCTGCAGGGGGGGTCCGAGTCTGCACGGGGGCCGCACTGCCACTCAGCTCCTCCCGCCGCCTTCCCTCCCGTCCACGAATCCAGTCCCAAGAGCACTGGCCTATACAGCTCAGTGGCAGAGCGCATGCTTAGCATGCACAAGGTCCTGGGTTCCATCCCTCCAATGAACAAACCAACCAACCTCACTACCTCCTCCTTCCAAAACAGACACCCAGGGGCGCTCTCTAGTAACCCAGTAAGCGTCCTGCACGCCAAGCCCCGCCCCAAGGTCCGCCCCCCGCGCAGCCCAACCTGCGGCAACCAGGACATGAGCACGACCGGTGACTCTGCATAATTCAAAATTTAAACCTAGTTTTCTTCCATACTTCTTCTTCTTCTGAAGTACTCACGGTTTCAGTTACTGGCAAATTGGCTCAAACTCCTAAGGAGCTTTATAAACACGAAACAGCTAAAGAGGAAAGGGAGCTCGGTTTACAAACCTACTGTATCGGAAAGCATAAGAAGTACCAGATTTCAAGACAGCAGAGAAACTCTCCAGAAGGTGAGGAGGCCCCAGGGATGGCCTGCAATGAAATGCCCTTCTTGCTTTGGAGTTCTCTTTACCGACGGCCAAACTACACACGAGAACAAACGGACGTGGAATCCCCCACTGGACGGCTGCTCCAGTAGTCACTCCCCATGGGATAAAATGCAGCCCACGTGGCTAGCTATGAAGGCAGCTGCATTTGCACTTACGCCTGGCTCCAGAAAAAATTTCAAACCTGTTACAACAGAGTCTGGGTTTCTGAGTTCCCCAAGCTGACAACAGCCTCTCAGACTCTTCTCACACTACTTTCCAAAAACCACACACAGCACCAAGGAGAACACACACAAACACCCCCACCTGCAACAGTTGTCCAAAAGCACAGAAAGCAGTCAGCAGAGCAAAACATAAATGAAACACATGAACAAAAGGGACCAGAATAACAGTGACCCACATGGAAGCCAGTAGAAGAAGAGTCAACATACACACATTGGGAGTCCAGAAACAGGAAACAAAATGATGGAGCAGAACTAATCTTTAAAATTATGACTTAAGAAATGCCCTTCAAATTAAGAGGCCCTAAATGTCTACACTGAGACATAGTATGTAGACTTCTGCCTCTGAGATCCATCAGAGCTCCACCAGGAGACTCTACAGGTAAGGTTCTCTGGACTTCCAGGCAGAAAGACCAAGCTACTTACACGGAAAAGAAAAGAAATGTGAATATTGGATCAATTACGGAATAACTGTTCATTTATGACGACATTAATAGCACTGTCCTTGTCCTTTTAGAGATGCACACTGAAGCGCCCAGGGGTAAAGTGCCATGAGCCCTGTAGTTTCCTTTAGAGCCCACAGGCAAGTGAATAAACAAGCAAACAGACCAAAGCAAACATACAGAAATGTTGTCATCTGTTAAATCTAGAGGGAGTATATGAAAATTCATTATATCTAAAAACTATTCATAATAAAAGTAAAATAAGAAATGAGAAACAAAAAAACCCTTTAAATTCTTTTTAGAAATGATCAAAAAAGTTTTATTAAGAAGTGAATTTACCATGTGGTATCTCTAGAGGTCAGTATTGTCTAAGAGAATAAAGGAAGCACACCTCGACAGAAGAGTGCCAGAGTAAGTTGAGATAAGAATTACTAATTTAGTATTTAAAAAAAACACATTTCATGCCATATAAACTCAATAAATTCAGTCATAACATTTATATGGACAAAATTATTTCAAACACTTTAAAAATACAATAGGTGCTTAAATAAACATAAATGATGATGGTGAGATAATTGTGATAAGCTAAAAGAACAACAGAATGTGTTTATTTTTATCTATAAGACACATTAAAAAAAAGTCCAGTAGAAAATAAAAAGTGCTTGTACTTTGTTAGAAAGACTTCAGACATTATAGCAACTTTAATAGCTACATATCTCCACTGAGCGGACACACTACATTTACTTCTACGTTCACACACTACTTCACTAAAAGATATACTATCCAAGTATCTCTTGCTTTGAAGACTTTCACTCAATGAATTAATTCTAATTAAGTCTGATAGAATTCTGATCCGCTTTTTTCTAACTGCTGCCAACAGTAATACCTAGCTCCCATTCTAGTCGAGTGAAGCTAAATTCTGGTAAACAAACAATACTTGACAGTCTGTACTCTGCCAACATCAATATGCAGTTTGGATCTGAAAAGAACAGTCCCAAAAGAGGGCACAAGCCAAACCAACCTTGGACCCGGGAAGGGAGGGTCGACCCACATCTAACTAAGGATGTACTGACTCTTCTGAGTGTCTGCCGACCAGCAAGCACCTTACGTTCCGCACCCTGGGCAGGTCAGCTGCGTCACTGAAGTCCAGGGCATTTTATTACTAACATACTGACATTTTTGGAGCACACCAAAGTTCCTAAGTTAGAGACTTTTGGCTTCTTTATTTTCAAGGAAGTAAGTCTATGGGGGGAAATGCAAGTTCTTATGGAACAAAGGTTTTAACAACGGGCACTTCATTATACCCATTCTTCCCTCCAACATGAACAGATGTGGAGATCAGGGCCTAAAGAATGGGACTCTGTCTGCCTCTCTGATACCAGTTTCCTCTGCATTGTCTTTACCCCGGCTCTCATTCTCTTCAGAGCCGCAGGCTCGCTCTGCAGCTAAGTGTGCCATGTGACATCTGGACGGTGCCATGAAGCAGAAGGCTTCCAGTTACTCTTTCCTGATACAAAGAATATCTAAGATAGATTTTTTGTGCCTCTTCTTCTCCCTTTCTTCCTGCCTAGAATCAAGCCATGGTAACCAGAAGCACCCATCTTTGTAAGCATGCAAACAAAATGCCACCTTCTAAGAAAAAAAGCAAAAACAGGAGTCAGGTATTTAATAGTATCATAAGGCCACTGAATCGCCCCACCCTTTGGCTGTCTTATTAGGTGAGAAAAATAAAGCCCTTACTTGTTTTAATCACTGTAATCAGATTTATTTTATATGCAGCTAAAGGCAGTCTTCCCTGACAGAAACAGGCATGAAGGACACTGTCAAAAGGAGAGAGGACTTCAAGACTCAAGCCCTGTACTTTAACCTTTACCTGCCTGTTTTCTCTTTTTCATTAAAAGAAAGTCACTGTAATTCCTATTTTATATTCTTTCCAGGGTTATTTTGAGGCTGAAATGAGATATTTGTCTTTGTCACACAGAGTTATCAAAAGTTTCAAACGAGATAAGTATATTGCAAGTTGGTACCCAGGGTAGAAGTGGTAGGAACCACGGAGTCATTGTTACGAAAGCGGTGTAATACAGCACCTGCACAAAACTGCCGGGGCCGCCGCCGCCTCTGCTGTACCTGGATGACTTTGGGGAATGTATCAGATTCCTGAGTCATGTTCTCCCTGTAAGCAGGGCACTAACAGGAGCTGCATCAGGTGTAGCAGTACTGCCAAGTTACACCACAACATCCACTGTCCCTGCTGTCCCGAGCAGCAGAACCCCTGCATTTGAGCTTGGCTGGCCACTGAAAATACAAGACTACGTTTCTTAGCTTCCTTTGCATCTGGGGTCTGGCTACGTTTTGACCAACGGGATGTGAGCTGAAGTGATGTGTGCAACTTCCAGGTCAACCCTTGGTGGGAAATGCCCTCCGCGACCCCCTTTCAGCCCCTCCACTGGTGGGGAGTGGACGGAGCGGGGAGCCGCCCTCAGTCGTGCAGACGAGGGCAACAAATCTCAGTACAGCAGAAAACAGCAATTCGTGAGAA